CCACATTCGGCCGTTCTGCTGTGCTGGCTGGGTGCTGCTTGTAGAGGTTCTTGTAAGAGGTGTGTCACTTTAATACACAACAGCAGTTGTAGGGCTCATTCTCTTCCTTGGTTTTCTTCATTCGCATCTATCCATGTCATGGTACCTCCCAGAATGCTGTGTGTCCTGCATCCACCCTGGCCTGCTCACCCACCCTGCAGGGAGAGACAGTAGGATTGGGTCCAACTTCCAAAAAGATGCGCAAAGGCCATCTTTAAGCACTTTCCCGGAGGGACATGTGTGATAATTTCTCCGAGGCTGATGTCAGGAGCAGGACTGCTGGGTCCTGGGGTCTGAGGTGCCTGATCTGTCTCCACACGGAGCAACAAGCAGTCTATCCTCCCGTCAGCAGAGCCCCAGTTCTCCTCATTGCGCATTAATCAGCTTCCTGATGTCTGCAGATCTGGTGAGTATAACGCGCCCTCATTATCCCAATTCACCTCTTAATTAGCCAGAAGCTTGTGTATATCTCTCGTTAGATTATGGGGTTTCCTCTTCCAGGAATAACGGATTCAATGTCCTTTGCCCATGTTCTTTTGGGGCTCCTGTCTTCTTGTTGATTGGGCAGAATTCCTCGTCAGTTTTAGACACTGAAATTAGCTTCTCCTGATTTTCTTGTTAATCCTATTAACTCTTTGCTGGTGGTCTTTGGGGTCAGAACTTGTGATGCAGTTGGCCCAGTCGATGTCTTTGCTGTATGGTTCATGCTTTTAGGCCGTGGCTTAAGAAGTCTTTCTCCACCTTTAGGTCACAGAGATATTTTTCTACCTTTACCATAAAGACTTTATGGCTGCACCATATACATGTAGGTCCTTCATCTGTTCCGTGTCTACCTTTGTTATTTGGCACCAGTTTTATAGTTGAACATACAGTGCTTGAGCTGTTTCTCCTCCCACCCCCTTTTTTAAATATATTTTTATTAATTTCAGAGAGGGAGAGGGAGAGAAACTTCAATGATGAGAAAGAATCATTGATTGGCTGCCTACTACATGACCCCTGCTGGGGATCGAGCCCGCAATCCAGACATGTGCCCTGACTGGGAATCCAACCGTGACCTCCTGGTTCATAGGTTGATGCTCAACCACTGAGCCATGCTGGCCAGGCTGTCCTTCCCTTTTGATTCGCAAGCCCTGTAACTTTTAAGTCTGTGGCCTTATTCATAGCAAGGAGAGAGGCCTCAGGAAAAAAGAAAATGAACTGGCCAGCACCTTGATCTCAGACCTCCAGCCTCCAGGGTAATATCCATCTCAGCTCTTCCAGGACAACTGCCCCTTTTCCTTGCTCTGACTCAGCGGTCGCCAACCTTTCGGACCTCATGGACCACCAGTTGGCGACCACTGCTCTGACTTGCAATTGCCTGTGACTTCATCTCTCTTTACTCTGACCAAATTGTGTAAGAAGTCAATTTGACCACATGCTTACTCTCTGCATAGTAAGGCCATGTTCTAAGCGCTTCATGTGTTTCAACTTGTGTAACCCTCACAGCCAAGCTAGGAAGGCTCAATGAATATCCCCATTTTACAGATGAGGAAACTGAGGCAGAGCGAGGTTACACATGGAAAACTTGGCCAAGAGGTGGCAAAGCTGATTCAAACTGGTGTTATCTCAGTCTGGAATGCAATAGGATGCTAATCTGCTCCCAACCGAGCTGCCCATCAGTTATGCAGAGGAGTAGGGGAGATGATGGTGCAAGTCTGATCCAGTATGTGCACGCCTCTCCTCACTCCAGTCCCAGCCTGCAGTCCCGTACCTTCCCAGCTCCCCATGGCCCCGGAATGCCATCAAAAGCATTGGCCTGCTGTTTGGGGCCTTCCACAGGCTGCTTACAATTCACCTGTCCATCTCCCTCTTATTTTCTGTTTCAATGTCGTCTGGTTGTCTGCTTGCAATGTCCTTTCCCTGCCCACATTTATGGGTCTAAAACCTGGCATTCTTCATGAAAGGAAGAATTTGGCTCTGCTCTGTTTTCCTTTGGGGCAGCTGCTGGTTTCTAGCAGGGATTTCCTCATTTCTCCCTGCACTCGAGCCCTGGGAGCCTCCTCCCGGGGACTTGACACATCCTCTCTGGGCTGACCCACATTTAACTCTCCATCCTGACCTTTCTCCAGCTCCACCTCTACTCCGAGGTCCGACAGTCATCTCAAACTCAGGACCCAAACCTTGAGCTGATGTTCCCCTCAAACCTGCCCCTCCTCCCATCACTTCCCATCTCAGTGAAATGACACCTCCTGCCTCCATCCTCCCAGTTGTCAAAGCCCCAAAAGTTGAAGTCGTTGCTGACTTCTCTCCCACCCACATCCAATCCAACGCTAAATCCCACCAGGACTTGCCTATCGCATCTACCACCACCGTCTTGAATCGAGAGAGCTTTTCCCCTGGATGACTGCGGTCACCTCCATCCTGCCGGAAGCCTCAGGCTGCCTCAACCCTGACCCACACCCCTCCTCTGCCCAGAGACCTCCAATGGCTCCCAACGGTGCCGGTTCTTACATGCTCTAGGCCAGTGGTTGGCAACCCTCGGCTCGCGAGCCACACGCGGCTCTTTGGCCCCTTGAGTGTGGCTCTTCCACAAAATACCACGTGCGGGCGCGCACGTACAGTGCGATTGAAACTTCGTGGCCCATGCGCAGAAGTCAGTTTTCAGAAAGGAGATAGACGAAACAAGTATACAAGACGTGTGTGGATGGGAGAGTTGGAAGGCGTCGACCTCAGCAAACGTACCTCAATCAGATTGAGGACGTTTTTAGCAAAAGCCAGTTTAGGAGCACCCTAATTAAGTTAATAACAATGTACCTACCTATATAGTTTAAGTTAAAAAAATGTGGCTCTCAAAAGAAATTTCAATCGTTGTACTGTTGATATTTGGCTCTGTTGACTAATGAGTTTGCCGACCACTGGGCTCGGCACTCACCACCACTTCACGTTGTGTAACTTATTACTTGGTATTTCTGCACATTTCTCTCAACTGTAATGTAAACACCTTAAGGACAAGGATTATTGTTTTGTTCACTGCTGACCTCAACTGCCCCCCTAACCATGCACAGCTTCAGGGCAAAGTCTGTTTTAATCATATGTATATATACATACACACATACAGAAAAGATTTACTATAAGGAATTGGCTCATGCAATTGTGAAGGCTGAGAAGTCCCACGACCTGCCGCCGTCTTTAAGCTGGAGACGCAGGAAGCCGGTGGGAAAGCCAGTGGGTAGTTCAGTCCGAGTCCAGCAGTCTGAGAGCAAGGAGCCCGGAGGGCGGGAGAAGGTGGATGTCCCAGCTCAAGCAATCGGGTAAGAAGAGCTGAATTCCTTCTTCCTCTGGTCGGAGCCTCAGTGGACAGATGATGCGCCCCACACCGGGGAGGGCAAACTGCTCTCCACTCCACGGCTTCGAGTGCCCACTTCATCCAGGAACACCTGACCCTCCCAGACAAACCAGAAATGAGCTTTAACCAAAGAGCTGGGCACCCCATGTTCCAGTCAAGCTGACACATAAATTAACCAGTGTTTATTCACTTTGTACCACCGTGCCTTGGATGTAAGCATTCCATACTTTCCTCTCATCTCTTCACTCAGTAACAGAGAGAGGCAGCCATGGACGTACCAAGTCCCGGGACCCAGAGTGACCTGGAGTAGGATGGGGTGGTTTTGTCACCCTGAAGGCCAAGACTGACAGGTGAAATCAGGACGAGCTAAAAACTGGAATGTGAAAAGTCGATGCCATAAATTTGTAAACGTCAGCATACCGCCCAGTCCTGAGAGCCCATCACTGCCGCTTCCTTAGCAGCTGGTTCTCGCGATCGCCGATAAGAAGGCTCATGCAAAGAACCCCAAGAACACCATTCAGTAAGAAGGCACACAGGGTGGGTTATCAATACCTTTTAATGATTCACATTGGTGTTTGGGTTTTTTGTTTGTTGTTTTTTTTTTCCAGAAGAATTATAACAAAAATACATAGAACTTAATATGTTTCAATACAATGGGCAAGTACAGAATCTAAACCAGACAAGTCCATAAAGTACAATCCTTCTTGTGGGGAAAGAACCTTCCATTCCACTGAGCAGGGAGAACCACATGATTCGGCACAATCCTCTCTCACTGCCTCCTGTTCAAATTTCAGAGACTGGCAGACTTGGAGACAAAACATATTAAAAAAATAAATAAAACTAGATGTCAACTGCCTCAATTTCCCTTTCTGTTTTTCCTTTTCTCATTTTCGTCATAACCAGGTGGGATGAGGGCGCGAGGCAGGGCCCTGTGGGAAGGGTTATGCTCTGTGATGGAATGCCAGGCACACGCAGGGGTTCCCTGAGGTGACGAGAAATGTACTTTGAATCAACTACTCGGTGTTGTAGCTGACAGATACCAGCAGAGGGGAGGGAGTGAAACAGGAGCTACAGGACTGCTGGTGGGAGGCCTGATGGCCACAGCACACATTTAAATCCAACTTACACAGTGAGAAGATGCCCGAGTATAATCCTCAGTCAGCACATTCACACAGGAGTCTGTAACTGT